ATTCTTGGAACAGACACAAGACTTCCAAAACTCAGTCCCACTCAGTCTGAACCACAGGACACAGACAGAGCTTGTCGTTGACACTAAAATCTGGATTTTTTCAGCACTTTAGGAACATGAGAGCAGGGAACACTCCAAGAGCAAATCACTCTGGTTTTGGCAAATGAGGAACATGACTGGGTTTGCAGCAATTCACCAAGCCAGAGTGTGGGGAAACAAACCTGCAGGACCGGGGGAAAAGTCCCTGCACACCTGCCCCTGCTCAGCAACACCCTCCCCGTGCCAGGTGAGCAGGCAGAGCAGATGCTGTGCCAGGGACAGCTGATTTCCCCCAAGTGGTGCCCAGCTGAGCGAGGACGTGGCTGTGTGCACAGACAGCAGGGCAGCAGCGCCTGCCTGCAGGGGTTAATAACCAAAGTGCTGAAGCACCAGGCTTTGGCTCTTCCCGAGTGAAAAACTCCAGCAGCACATTAGCTACCCCGAAACATCATCGAGTAGCAGACAAATGAACTAATGACAAATGCTAATTCAACTGCCAAGAGAAAATCTCTCTGGGTGAGGTAATGGGAAGTGCAAGTCCGCACGCTGATCGCTCGTGTGATGCACTGAACTGAGCTGCAGGTCAGCTGTACCTCCCAACAAAGCAGGTGAAAGTCTTGTGCAAGTACCCCCACTCTCGATGGAATAACAACCATTTCCCTCAGAAGCACTGATGAAAACTTTTCAGTCACCTATTAGCACAAATAATGCTCAGACAAGGTACTGAGAAACAATGAATCCTCCTTCCAAAGTCACTCAGGCTTTGTGAATCCCAGGTCACGCCTGAACCCAAGTGCACATTGCTCATGCCCAAGCCACCTCAAACTATAAATACTCAAGTCAGTGTTTACTTTATCTCACATAGCTAAAATTCAATTACATGGGCATTCTTGCACATTTTGAATGAAACTAAAATTCAGTTTAATTACTGCTTACAGACCCCTAAATTGAGCCTGCCCTCACCAGCAGAAGTTAACACGAAATGCCAAAAGCTGAGCAGCGACCACTGAAATCAAACCCACGTGAGCAAAGAGGAACTCACTCCCACCAATGACACCCTCGGCCAGTGCAGCCCCAGCTCTGCCCAGCTCCCAGCTTCTGCTTTCAGCCAACACCCTCCCCCTTTGCTGTTTTCTCTTTCCCAAGCTGCTGTTACCTCCAAGCAAGGCTGTAGCTGCAGCTCTGCAGGCACAGTCCCCCGGGGCAGGTCCTGCCGGGCGGCCGCAGGTGTGCAGCCCAGGGCTCGGGATGGGTGGATGCTTTTGGCACTCTTTCCTACCTGATGTCAGTCAGACCCTTCCCTCCACACCTCCTTTCTGCCCCCAGCACTCTTAATGATATTATATTTAAATATGCAAGCGTGACCTTTCATTCTACTGAGTATCTGAAGCAGATCTCTCTCTGCACCCTGCTTTTTGGTGAACAGAACTGGGAAAATGAAGACCTGGGAAATGCACAGGCAAACGAAACACCGGTAAAAAAAGGGCTGATCTTACATAACGACATAAATTTAAGCAAAGACTGTAACAAATTAAGTTATAGAACGCCGTACTTTAAAAAATACAGAAACTGATGGAAATACCTTCAGATAATTTTTTACAGCGGATTCCTTGTCAGTTTTCATTCTTTTACACCCACTTTTTAATGCTGTACCACAGCCAGAGCACGGCAGTGCTGACTGCACAACAGCTCCCCTCCGACTGGCAGAACTCGGCGTTTAAATTAACTCCCCAGCTCTGAGGGAAGGCACACGAGAGCAAGCACAGCACTGACCTGCACCTCGCTCCTGCAGCTCCCTCGGCCTTCTCACAAAGAACCATTTTGCTACCAGCACCGGGCTGGTGACGCGTGGCCACCCTGAAGGGCTGGGCTGCAGGCACGAGGGGTTTTTCTCTCCTGAGGCCTGCCCTGCTGAGCCCTCTGCCTCCATACACTGGCACAGCCGTGGCCCGGCCACTCCTCTCACTGGAGCTGCAGCTCGGCCAGTGCCTAAAGCAAAACTCCTGGGGCACCCCAGAGGCTCGGCTGGGAACCAGGCAGGGGGCTGGGACACCAGGCACAGCTGCACGCTGCAAACTTTGCATTCGTGCTGCAGGAAGTGCACTGCAACACGCCTGCTCTCCAGAACAACCCCCTGCCAGCCTTCGTGCTTCCCAGGCACAGCTCGGAGTAGGGCACGCTGACAAACATTTATATACAAATATATATAGACACTGCTGCCAGCTTTGTGTCGGTGCTCCTGAAGGGCACTAATTACATACATGGCTCTAAGGTAGTCACAAAATGCATTAGGAGAGATTCCACTCCGCTGACAGACTCCTCTGAAACGCGGCTGGGGGATAAAAGGGCCGGAGGCAGAGCTGCAGCGAGGCAGGAAATCCCATTTCCATTTTTGAGAGGGGAGCAAAGTTCAGCTGTGCCGTTTTAGGTAGCACACAGCACTACCGCAGGTCAAACCGCCGTGAGACAAAGATCTTGACAGGTGACTGCACAAGGAAGACATTTTCATACGCTTTTCATTTCTGACTCTTAAGCCGGGTCAAAATGAATATTCTAATGCTCATTTGTTAACCTGAAATTTTAGGAAGCACGGCTTAGCTGCACACTCTAATTAAAGGTACAGAAAGGGCACAAACAAGCTGCATTGTCTCAGAAGAGAACGGCAGGGTGGGCTGTTAGTCAGAGGTGGCTCCTCACCACCGGGAACCTCGTTCTGCCAACGCAAACAAGCGAAGCAACTTTCTAAGAATGGAGAAGAACCAGCAAAAAAACTCTTAGTAAGCAGCTCTCTTGTATTCTGATTCAAATGACAAAAACAAGGATGAGTTATGATCAGGTAAAGAATGACAAGGAGGTACCGGTTCACTTTTGTCTCTACTCACCAGACAACACCAAAGGCTCCGTATCCGATGGGTCTGTCCGGCTCAATGTCCAGTTGCTGCTGTGGATGTTGTGAGTGCTGATGATGGTGCGCTTTGACTGCAGCAGCTGCTGCAGCCTGTACCTGAGCTGGGGCTGCTGCAGCCGGTCCGGGGGCCTGGCCCGGGGCCGGGGATGGGAAGTACGGCTGCTGCTGCCCTGGGTTCAACATCGCGGCGGCGGCGGCCGCGGCTGCGGCGGCCGCGGCGGCCGAGGAGGCATGCTGCTGCACGGGGTGCACCGCGGCCGCCGAGCCGGCGTGCAGGTGGTGCTGAGCATGGTGGTGGTGATGGAGGTGAGGAGGAGGGAGGTGAGGAAGGTGGTGGTGATGGTGGTGGTGGTGACCTGCTGCTGCCGCAGACGTACCGCCATTGTAAGCCGCCATCATTTTTGCGTTGGCCGTTGTGCCACAAAGAGACATTCAAAAAAATGCCCTTTGATTGGATAACAACTGGGTCAAGCTGTCATTTGGCCATAAAAATTAAATCTGCTACACTTTAAAAGAAGTTGGGTTTCATCATACACGGCCCACCTTTAAAAACATGGAGCTCCACTGGCCTTATCTCCTCGCGAAGCCAAACAACTCGGGGAGTCTCTTCATGTGTGCGGGCGCCAACCCCTTCCCCAGCATCCAGCCGGGCTTGGCTACTCCAACTCCATCCTTGGGCAGCTGGGGTGGGGCTGGGGTGGGTTTTTTCCTTCACTTTTGGTTATTTTTGTCGTTTTTCTTGTTATAAAAATTAAACACCGTGATCAATCCCCCTTCCCTCCGGAGGGAGGGCTCGGAGCCTCTGCCCTGAACACCCCGCGAGGGCCGGCCAGCCTAGCCCTGCCATTCCCACACCCTCTCCATGTGTCCCCCGAACCTCCCTGAGCCCGGGCACCTCCTACATCGCTCCCTCCTTCCAGACACCTGCTCCCTCCTTCCAGGCACCTGCTCCCTCACAGCAGCAACAACTCGGGAGTTTGCAACTTTTCCTTGAAGGCCTGAAACACACACAAGGACCCAGAGAAAGTGAGGGGGGGGCGCGCAGGGCGAGGAGAGGGGGGCGAGGGGGCTAAAAGAAGATAAAAACCGAAAGAGGAAGGGAAGGGCCGGGGCAGGACAGGGATCGCGGGGGG